GGGGGGGGGGGGGGGGAAGACTCTGCATGGGTCCTTGAGGCTCCATCAAAATTTTCCTCTGTCCCTCCTTGGCCACTTCTCTGTCAAATCTTCTGCCACTCCATCGACCTTTGACCTGTCCCTCCCTACAGGAGTGAATCATCTTTCTATACTCCATCTCCCAGCTGTGAGACTGTTGCTTCCCCCACCCCTGACCCCAGTTGTACCACCAGACTCAGACTTAACCCATGTTGAGTATATCCTTTCCACCTGGCACTGTGGTCTGTGAAACAGAACATGCCAGGATTCTCCACGAGGCTCGTGTTGGCCATTTTCTGTTTGGTGTCTAATATTTAGGATAAATTAGAATACCAGAAAAACATTCCCATGCCAAATATAAACTCACTTGTTTTTATGGCTTTCTCTTGACTTTAGAAAGTGAAATTGCTTCCTCAAGGTGGAGAGGCAGGGTTTGGTACCTTATATCGCTAAGCTAATAACATCTTTGGCTGATTGGACGGAAGCTGGTTATTAACATGATGTGAATTATTGAACACCACCCTAAGAGGCCTGCCCCTGATGGCACCTGCCTCCTGCACCCTCACCTCTAAATGTTTCTCAGCAATAAGCTCACTTCACTTGAGATGGACCACTCAGAACATGGACCAGAGCAGGGTCTCAGGTGCTGGGCAGCACCTCTCCCATTGTCAGGGTTCAGCGCCAGCCCAGTGCTTCATGTTTTGTTCTGGCACACACCGGGCGCTTTTCTGGGAACATAAAGGCTGTGGAGCACGGAGTTTCAGATGGGAAAGAAAGGGGCAGGAGTGAACAGTGACCTTTTTTCCTTTGCCAGCTGAGGGCTGAGCTTTGCTTGGGGAGAGGGCAGGCTGTAGGGACAGTTCTGAGCCAGGGGGATCAGATCACTCTCTCCCTGTGTGTTCAGGTCCTTCCTCCTTTACTTTGCCTTTCCCTTCATCAGTGTTTCCTCCTTGCTGCTTTTAGAAGGCCAAAGTCATGGCTGCTCCTTAGCCCTTACTGGAGAGACCCCAGTGGAGGTGGGACTCCCCCTCTCCAGTGCTTGCCCTCCTTCCCTACTTGGAGGAAGACTCCACGGTGGGAAAACAGGAGCAGGGTCTCCCCAGTGGGTCTCGTCTCTGTGACTTGATTTCCCCGAGGTGCCCCCACTTTTCCTAATAGAGCCCTTTGCTTTCTGTTTTGTCTTGTGTCCTTTCTTAGCTCTTTTCCTTTCATTTGGGTTTCTCATTTTATGCCTTTGCACCTTGCATTGTATAGTTTGGGCCCTTTAGTCTGAATTGATTTGAGGAACAGGTAAGAAAACTAAATGGGATCAAGTGGAGAGGGCAAATCTGGAGAAAGTGAAGAATTAAACATCTTGTGGGGGAAGCGTTGGTAAGACTCAGTGCCTCTATTTGGAGGTAGTGTCCATCTTTCCGCCTTTGTCACTTCTCCCTAGGGCTGGTGGTTGTGTTTATGGCTGCGTGTAGTGCTTGTCAGAGGAGTGCTGTGACAGGAGGCTATTTTAATAAACTGTTGCAGTTTCACGAGCCGAGCTGCAGTGCGTTGGCATCCCTCGTCACTGCTAATGGAGCGTGCGTGGCTGGGTGTGGGCCGAGAGGCGGCCAAGCTCATGGGGGCTGGGGAGAAGAGGGGGAAGGCTGGGGTGCTGGGCTCCCCTCCCTTGTCTGGGAGTGCTCCTGTAGCCAGACCTGGGGGATGGAGGGTGGCTGAACATTGGGCGCTGGGTCCCTGCCCTGGAAGTGCTACTGGCATGGACACTTTCCGAGTTCTCTTTCTTCTTTCTATTCATAGCACCGCAGGCTCACATGTGTATGGCCCAGGAGAAAAACTTCCACATGCCCCTGTGTGCTCCATAAATAATAATAAAAAGGAAAGAAATAGAACCAGAAAAAGAGAGAGTGTGCGGGCCTAAGAGAGAGACTGAAACCAAAACACAGAGAGAAGGCGCAGCTGCTTTCCCCAAGGCCTTCTGGGGCTCCCGCCCGCCAGCCCGCCCCGCCAGCCCGCCCCGAGTCAGGCCTTTATTTATTTATTTTTCTGGCTTAAAAAAAAATTTTTTTTTTGCGTCTTCCACAATCCCAGTCCCCCCACCCCCCCACCCCCAAATTTGCTGGGTGGCTGCTGCCAAATGGACCCAAGAGGGAGCCTGGAATGAAAAATTCATAACTGCTGGACTTTGCTTGTTCATTAGAGGTGAACTTGTCGATTGGGCAAATTGTTTTTGGTCTCCAACTGCCGGGGGCTCTCCCCACCCTCCGGCTCACCCGCCCGGTTCCCTCCTCCCCTTGGACGCAGCCATTGGCTGCTCGCAGAAGTCTCTTTGCCAAATAGGTGGATCCTTTTCTCGCTCTCTCTTTCTCTCCCTCTCTCTCTCTCCTTCTCTCTCCCCCTTTTTCTCTCTCTTTCTCTTCCCCCCGTTTTTACTGGCTTGGCACAAGCAAATGGATGGGGATTGAGCATGAAAGGGGAGAGAGAGAGGGAGTTTGAGAGAGAGAAAAGGAGCAACCCCCCCCCAAACCCAACCAGCGCGTGCACACACATGTACACTCACATACGCACACTTATGCGTACACTCACACACGCCTCATCCCATCCACGTCCTCCCTCGATCCTCGATCTCTCCCTCCCTCTTTCTTTCTCCCCTCCCTCCCTCACTCCCTCTCTCTTTTGCACGAGTCTGCCAGCAACGGTCTGCAGCCGGTCAGAACTCGTCCTCTTCCCCGGGAATCTGCGAGCTCCCCCTTTTCCTCCGATCAGGCGGAGGGAGGCAGCTCGAAGTTTATACCCCTGTGCTGCTGCCAAAGCCGAAAGCCTTTTTCTTCAGCTGCCGCTTTTTCCCTCCTGGTTTTTGTTTTTGTTTTTGTTTTGCACGGGGGTGGGGTGTGGGGGTGGGGGGTGCATTGCTGGGGTAGGGGGAAGACAGTGGGAGGTTGATTTTGATTTTTGAATTTTGCATATTTTTGTTTTCTTTTAAACTGGAAGAGGATGCACAAGGGGAGAAATTGAAAAAAAATTTTTGTGTTGGCTTTTGTTTACCTGGCGTGTGTGGCAACCAGCTTGCTCCCTCTCTCTGCTTGCTATTCCTGACCTTTCTTTCTTTTTGCTCCTTTTCAAAAAAAAATATTAATTTCCCCCTCTGTGCAATGGAGCGTTGGGGGGGGTAGGGGGAAGGGTTTGAGAATCCACCCAAGCCCAGCCCCTTTTCCCCAGAACACCAATAATAACCCCCTTTAAAACATTTACCTTCCTTCCCTGCTCCTCCTCCTCCCCCTCCCCCCACCCGCCCCCAACTCACAACTCTGTTGAGTCCAGAATCTCAGAATCGGGCGTTGGGCTTTGCCGGGTGCTTCAGATCAATGGTAATTATTTAATTTTTTCCAGTTTTATTTTTGTAAACAGAAATCAATTATTATTTAAACTGCAAACAAAAAAAAAAAAAAAAAAAAAAAAAGAAAGAAAGAAAGAAAGAAAACAAAACTGAGAGCCCAGCCCTCTGTCACCTGACTGAGTGGGAAAGAGGGTGAAGGGGTCGTGGGAGGCTGGAGTAGGGGCCACAAGATGACCCATGTAGCTTTTAACCCTAATGTGGCCGAGACACCCACCTTATTTGTGTTAAACAGAAGTGTTTTGTTCATTATTACTGTGATTAACATTAGTATCAGTGTCGATAACAAAGCTGAAATCACATATTTAGGACTTAGATCTGATGAAAAAATGCCGGGGTGGATGTTCCAACGGGATCAGGAGAAAAGAAAATGAAAACAGCCTGGGGAGAGGGAAGCCAGATCCGTTTCCTCGCTTGCTTGCTGGTGGATGTCATTTTCTCTTTTCTTGGGGGTGGCCAAAATTCGACTGGTGTTCGGGACGCGAGGCGGCCCCCGCATGCCCCGCGTGTGTCCACGGGCGTCTGTGCAGATGGACACCGCACCGGGGCGAGCTGACACGAGTTCACGGCTGCGATAGAACATGGAGATGTCATGGGCGCGACAGAGCCTGGCGGGGATACCAGCAGCGTGTGTGTGTGGACAGCAACGTTGTCTGTGCGCGCGTGTGTGTGAGTGAGTGAGGGAGAGAGAGAAAATAGGTGTGTGCATGGGTTCCTGGTGTCTCTGTCTGGCTGTGGAAGCTGAGATGGGAGCAAGTGGCTGGCCAGGCTGGTGGTGGCTTTGGACCACACTTTTGTAGAACAATCGCAAGAGAAAATTGTTGGGGGGAGGGAGGAGGAGGAGAAGGCGGTTTTCCTTGTGCTCCCCTTCTAACGTTGCTTTTCTCCTTCTCTCTTTTCCTCCTCATCTCGTGTCTTTCCCTCCTCCTGGTCTTCCTCGCCCCGCATGCTCCCGGCTTGCCGCCTGCAGGATGAGTTCCACCCGTTCATCGAGGCGCTGCTGCCTCACGTCCGAGCCTTCTCCTACACCTGGTTCAACCTGCAGGCACGGAAGCGCAAGTACTTCAAGAAGCACGAGAAGCGGATGTCAAAGGACGAGGAACGGGCGGTGAAGGATGAGCTGCTGGGCGAGAAGCCTGAGATTAAGCAGAAGTGGGCATCCCGGCTGCTGGCCAAGCTGCGCAAAGACATCCGGCCCGAATTCCGCGAGGACTTTGTGCTGACCATCACAGGCAAGAAGCCCCCGTGCTGCGTGCTCTCGAACCCCGACCAGAAGGGCAAGATCCGGCGGATTGACTGCCTGCGCCAGGCCGACAAGGTGTGGCGGCTGGACCTGGTCATGGTGATTTTGTTTAAGGGGATCCCCCTGGAAAGTACTGATGGAGAGCGGCTCTACAAGTCGCCCCAGTGCTCAAATCCCGGCCTATGCGTCCAGCCACATCACATTGGAGTCACAATCAAAGAACTGGATCTTTATCTGGCTTACTTTGTCCACACTCCGGGTAGGTCACTCTCAACCATTTTTCCTCCCATTTTATTTCACTCGCTGGCATTTGTTATGTTTATTGTTTCTCTTATTTCCAAACAATAACATGCCAGGAGCCCAACTAGTGCACCCGTCCTGCCCAGGGCCTGCATCCCATTCAATGTGCCCCTTTCTCTTCTTCTGTGTCCTCCCAGACTCTATTCTTCCTCTTCTGCTCCCTTGCCATGTTACTGACTTTGTATATCTCCATCTTTGGAGGACTCATCTGATCAGAAAGGCACTGTGGGTTTTAGGACTGGAGCCAGGATACCCCCAGAATTATCCATGATAGTGAGAGTTTGAGCTGAACAACAACAAAATCAATCATTGCTCTTATTTAAAATGAGTCAGAAGAAGTATTGGAGAGCAGGTGCCTGCTTTCCGGCGGCTTCACCTCAAGTCTCAGGAAAAGCCGGATTTGGCACAAGCCGGGTGGACAGCAGTTCGGTGGAGAGAGGGGGGCATGTGAAACTCCCAGATATCAGGCTGAATGAATAGAAGAGAGGAAAGAAGGCAGCAGTGGGAAGGTTCTTGGGCCCAGATGCCCAGGTGGAAGCTGTTTTGACTGGGATTTGGCTGTTGGAGAGTATGAAGGTAATTTGATTTCATAGAGAGTGAAAAGGAGTCCGAGATGCCTTGAGCTCTCCCCCTCTACCTTGTTTCAGCTGAAGTGGTGAGGCCCGGGGATGTATGGCAGGAGCCTGGCACCTCTGCTTGGGGGCAGAGAGGCTTCCCAGGGCTGAGGCCTGGCAGGGAGCAGCATTGCTGTGGAAGTGGTCTTCAGCAAACAAACAAACACACTGTGCAAAATCTCCTTTCCTTTTGTGTTCCGCGTAGTTCCAGTTCTCTTCTTTGCTTTCCCAGTTTTACCTAGCATTTTGGGTCAGGGTGGTTTAGTTCTCCTCCTCCAGTACTTTTTTTTTTTTTTCTTTTTTTTTCCCTTCCCTTACCCTTTCCCTTTTTATAATTTCTTTCCGCTTTTGTTTTCTTACAAATTGAAACAGAGATGGCTGGTTAATTTTTAGCCTCCACTCAGCTACGCCCAATTTACTGCCGCCTTTGAAACCTAAACGGGCGGCACTCTGTGATTAAGCAAGGCAGAAGTGTGTTTACATTATGCCCAACCGACTTGTAATGAGAGGGCTACCCAACCTTTCTCTGTGTGTATGTATGTGTGTGTGTGTGTGTGTGTGTTTCCTTTCCACCATTCCAGTATTTTTCCCCCTCATTTCCCTTCTTCCTCTCTTTATGCGAATGTGAGAGAATGTGGCTTAACTTCAGCTCTTGCAAATGTTCTTTCCCGCGAGTGCCAGCGTACGTCCCTGTGCCTTCCTTCCTGTTCATTCACAAAAAAAGAAAAGCAACTCTCAACTGCGGTGGTCATCTCCTTGCCTGTTTGGGAAGTTGTGAGGAATGATATACCCGGATCCAGAAATAAAATTCAGGTTGGGGGGAACTTTCAGCACTGTGTCAGGATGGGAGTGAGCACTGAGAGTTTATATGTTGGAGAACTCTGAGGAGGAAAAGGTGATATTTGAGCTCTCTCTTCTTGTTCATTCTCTTATTCTGAGAGCTGGCTTTGGTAACTGGTTGCAGGCAGTGGATAGTGCTCCCTCCCCCCACCTCTATGGATCTTTCTAGGCCTGCTCTAGGCCCTGTGTGACCATCACAACCCTTCCTATAGAAGGGACAATTGCCAGTCCTTCCCCTTCCCTTCAGCTTGATTTTTTTTTTCATCTTTTTTTTGGAAAAGAGACTAAAGGGAGAAAAAAAAGTTATCCCTCATTATCTGCATAGCAAGCCAGAGTGGGATGGGTGTGTGCCTGGGGGTGTTGAAGGTGGCTGGTGACTTGGGGGGGCCTGGAGCTTTGAGCTTGTCACTGTGCTCATCAGATATGTCCTCCGCAAGGGGATTCTGCACCTTCCGATCTTGGGACCAGGGACCCAAGAGCATCTAAGATGAAAATCAACACTTGTCTTTCTCCTAAGCTGGCTTCCTCCTAAGCTGCTCTCTAGCTGGGTCCTTGTAGCTGAGCTGTTTCCCTGGCCTCTTTTATTTTAGGCCAGACTCTTGACTGCTGCCAGCATGGCGCTAAGGGAGGAGGAGGTATGTGTGATGAAGGATGCCATTTCTTGGCCAGCCCAGAACAGCTCTGTCCAGGTTGAGGCTGAGTCTCCTCAACAAAAGCTGAGTAGAGAATTAAGGATGTATTATCTATAATGCAGGCCCCAGACTCCAGACAGTTTCCACGAAGGTAGGATTTTTCTTGCTGGAATTGTTTTAATTTGAGCGTGCCTTCCTGAAGGGAGTTGCGGCCAGTTGGTGCGTCCTGGTCCACCAGTGGGCCTTGTCACTTGTTCCTCCTTGGAGTTGGGTCATTGGTCTTGAGACAGCACAGAGTGGGCAAGGCTTCCTCCCCAAGCTGCCCTAGTGTGCTAGAAAATGTCTTCTCCTGTGGCTGAGCCACCAAATGGTGTCAATTGCCAGCACCACCTTCTCCGTGCCCTTGCCTGCTGGATACATGCAGCAAAGCCGCCCCTTCCTCCTTCTTCCCAGGATGATAAACTAGGGGCAGGGGCTGGTTGGCAAGGGCTCAGACAAGAGTAGCTTAGGACTCTGAAAGCAGTGGTTTTTTTCTTCCCTTCAAACTGGGCTGAAGATCCAGAATTGGGCTGAGCTGGTGGTGCTGGATTTGATGACAGTAAACATGACATGGTGGCAAGGGTAGGGGGTGTAGCTTCACTCTTAGGTGCCATTGTCACCCCTGACCCTCGTTGGCCCTTGTTATACCCCAGACGAAACTTTAAGAGATGATATGGTTGAGAGGGAATAAAGGACATTTGTGTGGCATTGCGAGCTCCACTCCCAGAATAGGAGGTCCACCAGGCTGCTGTGAGGCTGGCCTTCCTGCTGGGAAGGAGTCTCACTCTGTGTCTGTCTGTGCTCAGGAGGGGAGGTTGAGGCAGGGCAGTGTCAGAGAGTGTTGCCACGGGGAGGAGGAAGTCCATGTCTTGGTGATGTCTTCCCATCCAAAGGGGGTGTCCCAGAGTGGGTGGCTGGGGATGGGGGAAGTAGGGGACAGGAGGCCGCTGCTTGCATGGGGAAGGATGGCTCAGCTCGGCTAGACTATCTCAAAGCTTTTGCAGTGTTCCAAATGTGAACTGGCGCCTTCAGATCTTCCCTAGCACTTAGGCCTCGGTCCTAGGAAAGAAAAAAAGGAATCTGAAACTAATAAAATGCTTGACTGAATGGAACTGTCAGCTTCTCCCTATCAGATCTCTCCAGTGAGCCCTCAGTGGAGGCCCACGAAGTCCAGGTATTCATTGGTGGCTTTTTTCTTTATCTTGGCTCTTTCATGATGGAGTTTCACACATAGAGGGAACCCCTGTGTCCCCATCACCAGTGCCAACAGTCACCGACTCACAGCGAGTCTCGATTCATCCTTTGCCCCCACCACCCACCCACGCTTGGTTATTTAGAAGAAAATCCAGGCATCATAAGCTTTTCATCTGTAAACATTTCTGTACACATCTCTAAAGATAAGGACTCTTGAAAAACCGAACCACAATACCACTATCACACCTATAAAAAAGTCAACTATTTCTTTAGTATCATCAAATACCTAGTTAGTGTTCATATTTTCCTAATTATCGCCTAATTGTTGTTTATAGTTTGCCTGAATCAGGATCCAGATACAGTCGTCCATGCACTGCAGTGGGTTGGTCTGTTTCTCAAGACTTGTAGTCTCTAGGTGATCCTTTTCCTCCTTTTCTTCTTCCTCCTCAGTCTTGATTTCTTTTTTGGCAGTTTTTGTTGTTGAAGGAACCAGGTCATTTGTCCTGTAGGGTTTCCCCATCTGGACTCCGCAGGCTGCACTGTCTGGAGTGGTTCATTGTGCTGCTTTGAGAGGAGATTCTGCCTTGCCTCCAGGTCCTGGGAAGGCTGAGCTCAGCCTTACTCGTCACAGGAAATAGGTTAGCACCTGAGGATTTGTCTAAGTGAACTTTTTCGTGTGAGGTTGCCTTTCTCGGGTGCAAGAGCTTCCTGGTTTTAGCTCCCTGCGTCACGACTTGGGGATTGGGGCTTTGCAGTGAGCACTGGTTTTCCACATCCTTGCCATCCTGTTTGAGGGAGGGCTCCTCGTTCACGTCCTTCTTTGGTGGTGGAGGGCATCTCTCAGCCATGTTCACCTTGCCAATATGCAGCTGGTGGCAGAGATATCCTGGGCATCCCAGCCTTTGTTGGACGCCAAGCCCATCTGGTGACTCTGGTGCGAGTGTGTAGGAGGGCCAAAGGAGTGCCAGCCACCCTCTCAGAGTCCACCCTACCCATGCCACCTCACCCATAGCCTCCTTTTTAAGGCCCAGAAATGCTACTGCTCTGCATCTTTGAGGCAGCGCCATCTGGTGCCAGGGCTGGCAAAGAATGCAGGACCCAGGAACCAGATTTGTAAATTTAGCGAGATCTATGGATTATCTTTTAACCCAATGGAGGGTCCCCTTTAGAACATTCCAGAAGAGATGTCACATTGCTCAAAGATCAGCTTTGGTTGTTGTAAAATTCTTTTATTCATCCAGCTCAGGGAATGGTTCAAGGAATTAAACCAGCTAATATGTAAAGGTACTTGCACACAGCAGGCAAGCAGTGGATGGCAGCTGCTACGATTACGATTGTTATGATTTAGTGAGCCTGTCTCCTCATCTTTACTGTTGGTCTTGTTTCTGTTTTAAGGGATGACCCAGGTGAAAGCTGATTTTCCTGTAACACGGCAGCCTTTCCAACACTGAAGGCAGCTGTTGCGTCTCTCATCCACCTCTCTCCCCAGGAGGCTGTCTCCTCTCCAGCCTGCCGCCAGTCCCTCCTGCCTCCTGCATTTGACATAGCTCCTATTGCCCTTGCCATTTTGGTCACCACCCCTGGAGGCCCTCTGGTTTATCCTGGTCCTTCTTAAACTGGAGGGCTTGGAATTGAACACA